GTCTTTTCCACCATTGATTTGTTACAGAAAGAAGGTCTTTTATTTTACACAAAGTCCACATTCTGGGCATGGCTGGTTACTTCCTTGTGGTATAAATAATTTGTATTCTATTTCCTACATTTTTGGGGAAACCAGCAAGATTTGTGTTTTGAGACTTTCTTAGCTGTGTGGAGAGAATGGATCATAGGGTGGCGAGTGGGTGAGGAGAAGGTACGTGCCTCGATTGTACAGCCTGGTCTAGGGCGATGGTGTGTCACGTCAGGGGCTGTGTGGACACGCAAACTGGGCAACTCAAGAAATGTTTAAGAGATATGATCAACAAAGTTGACTAATTGGAAAGGAGTGTGTTTCTCAATGCTCTGGTAAAAACCTGAGCCTTACTATGAAACAAGCAAAAAATGTTTCTTTATCCTGGAGAAACATTTCCTTATCGACCAACATGCTCCTCACAATTATCATTTATGGCAAGTTTTAAAGGCATACAAAGTTGTACTATTATAGTGGGTGTTAAATCTTATTGCTGGAGCTTTAAAATATAAATAAAAATAATTCCTTAAGTAGTTGGAAATTGTAATGATAGTCTTGGGAACAGAATTTACTGCTATGGATACTGTAAAGCACAAAGGTAATAAATTTAAATTGCAGTATTAGTATTGGGAACAAGTTTTATTGCTCTGGCTAAAACACAAAGAAGTGAGATTTGTAACTCTTTTTTGCCCTCAGAAGTATTTATGTGTAGTGACAATGGGTCTGGTGTGGAGAGAAGAACAAAGGTTACTGATATCACAGGTCATGTGTCACTATGAGAAGCCTCAGAGCACTCACAGGTGAGCTCGATTCCTACAAATGGTTGGGGAGCTCCAGAGAAGGGGCCCAGCGACCAGCCTCTGGAAGGCTGGCTGAGGAGAAGAGGAGATTCCAGTGGACACGTGGCATTGAGGAGAGGCCCCGTGGGGTGCTATGGCCCCCTGCCCGTTCCCACTGAGAAGTCTTTAGGCCCACCCCATAAACAAACCCCGCTGCTCGACATCATGCTGATTCCAGTCTAATTTTGTGAGAGAAGCTCTGTAGACCAAGGACTGATTTGAGCTCTGGTGTTTGCTGCAGTCCCAACCTGGCCCCCAGTACAACAGTGTTGGGAGCTGGAGCCCTTTGGGCAGAGCTCCACCCTCAGGATTGAATTAATGCTAATTATAAAACGACTTCAGGTCCAAATGTGATCTCTCACTCTCTCTTGCCCAGGTGATGTCTCCTGCCATGTTAAGATGTGGCAACAGCCCTCATCAGATGCAGCTCCTTGCTCTTGTGCTTTCCAGCCTTCAGAACCATGAGTCTCTATTCACTGTAAATTATTCAGTGTCTGCAGTATTCCCCTCTAACAACATAAATCAGAGTAAGACAGTGTTGTATGTTCTTTCGCTTTGTGGACATTCCCTGCTGCTCCCTCTGTGTCCGCCTCAGTGAAGGGACTACCACGTACCCAGCTGGACACCTGAAGTCATTCTTGATTCCTCTCCCTCACCAGCAGCACACTGACCCTGCCAACACTGCCTGTCCAGAGAGCTCTCAGACCCACACTCTCACCCCACCCCACGTCCGACTGCCATCACCTCTCCCTGGCACTCTGACTACAGTCTCTTTCTTCCTCAGTCCTTGTCACAGTAATGACCACTGTTACTGAGCATGAAGAATGCACCAGGCCAAAAGAATTAAAAGAATCATACCACAGTGATATATGTGCACCCATGTTCATAGCGGCACAGTTTGTAATAGCTAAAGCTTGGAAGCAGCTCAAGTGCCCATCAACTGGAAACTGGATAAAGAAAATGTGGTTTTTTAATAAAATGGAGTACTACTCAGCCATAAAGAATGAAAAAATAGTCATTTATAGCTAAATGGATGCATATTGAGGCCATACTCTTAAGTGAAATAAATAGGACACACGTGTGTAAATACAGAATAGTTTCTCTAGTGTGAGAAACTAATAGTGTAAACAAGGGTTAAAATGATTAAAATGAATAATTGATCATTTGAAATAGGAAAAAAGGTCCAAAGATGAAGGAGTGAAGGGAGGGGAAGGGGAAAGGAAAAGAGGGAAAGGAAAAACTATGAGAAAAGAAAGTGGAAATGTATATAAGTAGGGAAGGGGGGAGGGGGTGAAGGGCACACAGGTAATGGGGAAAAAATAAGAACCAAGATATATCATGTACAGGTACAAACACCCAATGATAAATGTAAATGAATCATATACCTAAAATGTACCAATAAAAGAACTAAAAAAAAAAGAATGCACCAGGGACCATGCCAAGTACCAGACATAAGTATCTCATTTGACTCCATGCTATCCCTTGGTTATCTCTTCTTTTATAAACAAAGATATTGATGTTCCAAAGTTAAGTATTAAAAGACATATTAAGTGTATTTTTAAAAATCACCAGGCTCACATCAAAAACAAATCTCCTGATCCTTTCGTGTTCTTCAATAGCCCCTGCCATCCTTCCTTCTTTTCTTCCTTCCCTCATTTAACAAATGAACTCTACCGTGAACATAGGAGTACTGCCAATTTCTCCAGACTCAACCACCACTACAACCCCAATAGCCCTTAGCTCTCATTAACAGCATTACTGGAAGTTTCTGGAATGTTATTTGTTCTTGTTACTCTTCTTTTCTAGAATGTAATCAACTTTGCTTTTACTGTCTAACTGCTATTTATGCTTCAAGATTTATTGTAGTCCTCATCTCCATCCTACATTTTTTTTTTTGGTACCGGGGATTCCATCCTACTCTTATACTATGCACTTGCCAATACCCAGAAACATGCATACACCAGCATGTGAGCATACAGGTGCATGCATGCAGAACACACACGCACGCGCACACATACACACGCACGCACACACACACACTGCTAAGTATGCACCTTCCCTGGCTCCTTTTGAAACCTAGGCATCTCCATATCACAAATTCCCTATACACTCACTACCTCTGCTTTGTTTTAGAAACATCTGTGAATTGTAACTTGCCTGAGGGCAGGGACTGTGGCCTTTTGTCTGTGAATTTCCAGAATCCAAGACCTGAATGCTGACATCCAGCATTGCTCAATGGAAGCTTACTGAATGAAAGCATGAGTAAATGAATAGAGTAGAACACAGTGCATTCCAGAGTAATTATTAGAACCATGAGACATAAGCCTTTTGAGTCTCAAAGAAATATCAGGCCATATTTTCATTCAGTTTGAGGAATTGTATTGATATACAGTGTTTCAAAATCAACCTGCAATTACTCACCTGTTTTCATTCTAACACTCAGCACAATGTACCTCTAAACTCATGGCAGGATATAATTGATGGAGAATAAGCAGCACTTTCCAGTGCCCTTTAGCAAATGCATGAAAAATAGCACCCTAGCAACCACACATACAAATGTTGGGAGTGATGTTTACTATGTCCCAGCAAACTTGGAATGCTTCAAGCAGGAAAGAAATGAGAAGGCTTAGTAAGTTTGGATCCACTCAAAGGCCAGAGTCAGCCCAACTTCTGTGAGCTTTTTGTTTGGGAGAAATCTCCTGAATTCTTAAGTGATGTGAAGCTCTTTTTCTTTGCAAATAGTCCCACTGAGGTCATAAACTCACAGAGCCAAAGAGTATGGACTTTGGGAATATGGAGAGGGCTGACATGAACTAGGCCTCTGACCCTGGCTGCTCATGGCTGGTTTCTGCCGCTTTTCTGTTTCCATAGAAACACCCATCTGATCAGCAAATAGAACTTCAATATTCTTTCACTTTGTTTTACTTTCTTCTTGCTTGGAGATCAACAATCTCTAATTAGAGAAGGTGGGCTTGTGGCTAAAATTTAGGATGCTTTAGGAGTCAGATATCCTCAGAGTACGAACAGCACAGTGACATTCACACACAAGTCCGCTCCCAGGACAGCTATCTGTCCTTACCTGGGGACAGGTGTTCACAGCCTTGAGATCAGCAATCATCTTCCAAGTCACTTCTAGCAGTAGGGTGACCTTTAGGACTGCACACGTGGCTGGACATTCATGATGGTCTCTATCAAACCGAGATGAATGTGTTCCATAATGTCTGCTTTGATTACATTAGTTCAGGAAGATGAAATCAAAAGGACTACTTTCAACAGAAATGTCCTGTGTCGACAGTTCAATGCTCTTTCTACAGGCCCTGGTGATTGGCCTTATTGTGTGCAGGATAAAGGCTAAACGCACAGCTACCTGCTAGCTTGACAAGGCTGTTCTGGCACCAGCAGGTTGCTGAGTTGTTTTTTTTTTTTCACAGCAGCTCTTTAATTCCACCAAACCCACTGGATTAACAAAAACCTGAAAGTAAAATAGCACAAAATGATATCCCTGCATGAGCTACTATTATACATTGCAACCTACAATTACACGGGTTCAGTCTAAATGCCCTGGAGCATTATTTCATTAATTCAAACCATTTCAGAAATGGTAAATATTTTCTCTTTTGGGATTTTCTATTATTATTCTTTTTCAGCAGAGAATGATGAAGCAGGCTAAGGCCAGCTGAACAATTGCAGTGTGAAGCCAACTGCACAGAGTCAAGATGACAGGAAAGAGAGGGGCTGGCTCAGGGATGGGGACAAGAGTGGACAAAGTCAATTTGGAGAAAAAAGAGAGAAAAATCAAAGAAAGAGGGTCCAGCAGCGATCAAGGTGAAGTTCCAGGGCTGTCCATTCAGCTGTCTATTGCCTGAGTCTGGCCGTGGTTATTGCTAAAGTGTGGAGGGTGCCACTGAGCACATGGACGCAGGACATGGGCAGGGAATGGGACTCTCAGCTCAGTCAAAGCTCAGTGTTACCAACATGTCCTTGGGTCACCAAGTCAATGCCTTTAAAGAGATTTCCTCCTGTGGCAGATGCCTTGGACCAATACAGATGCACAGTGTGTACATAATTGATTTTGTAAGAGAGAGAAATAGCCCTAATTTCTTAGTTGGCCCAAGATCTCCCTTCTAAAAACAGATTTTCAGGTTGGAAAAGAGGATATCGTGGAGGACAATAGTGCATGAGCCCAGGGTGTGCATCAGTGGGCAGCTGTGTGGGAAGGAGAGGAGCAGACCACTTAGAGAGTCGGTCTCCACCAGGAGGAGAGGAGGGACTTGGAAAGAGAAAGACCTTGGTTCCAGGAGCACTAGGCCACTGCCACACTTGACCTGGGGTAAATCGTGTAACTCCTACAAGCTGCCCATTTCCTCATCTGTATGAAGGAAATAAAAGTAGCACCTGGGGGGGAGGGGGAGTAGAGTTCCTGGGAGAATGTAATGCAGTGATCCAGGAAAACTGCTTAGCACATTGTTTGATAGATATTGGACCTCAAATGAAAGTTATTGTATTATTTGAAGCATCTTTTTAAAATGATATCCATAGAGCTAGATCTTACGCCTCTCTGAGAGTATGGACAGTGGGGAAAGTCACCAGGTTTTGATTCTCATCACAGATACAAGAGCATAAGGTGTCACATTGTGAGGTAGCAGGTGCTAGAATGGAAAGATATCCTGAGGAGAAAAGAAGCTACTGGGGGCTTGTCTGTGCCATGTCTTCGTCCTGGTACGGGTGGTCATTTAGGGAAAGAAGGAGGAAGAGAAGGGCCCAGGAAATGCCAGGAAGGAGGGGGTAGGGTGGTTGTCAGTCTGGGCCTGCAACTAAACCAACTGGCTGGAAGGCAGTTTAGGCTGGAAGTTCTCCTTTCCAGAAAGAAAATTCTTCTCCTTGAAAGTGCCCTGTTCTAGACCTTGAGGGAGGAGGGAGTAGCTCCAGCAGGAAGATGAAGACCTGCCCACGACCCTGCACACCCTCTGGCGAGTGTGTGGGCTAAGATGAACCCACTGCAGCTAGTGGGCATGGCGCGATCGTGGTTGCTCAGTCTCGTTACAACAAACAACAGAATGGTGCCTGTCCCCTCTTCCCTGGTGTTGAGACGTTTGAGGGTGGCATGCAGCACCCAGATAGCACAAAAATGATGTCCCTCCCTTCTCCCTGAGGAACCTCATGTAGCTTCTGGAGCCAGGGCGGGCATCCCAACACCCCTTGCCCTTCGATAGAGAATCATTCTCTTGCTGGCCAGTTATCTAAGACAGGGATCAAAGCAACTGTGAGGCAGCAAAGGCTTTGCTAATGCTGGCTCCTTGGCTTCCTTGCCTCCCTGGCTGCTGGGGAGGAAAACCAGCTGCATCACAGAAAACAACTCCACTCCCAAACAATGTGGTGCCCCAACTAGTCACAATGAGGTCTGGTTCAAATGTTGGCACACACGGAACATATTAATTAAAATAACGTGCATGATAAATAATATTGGGATCCAAAGCTCAGAACTCCTGTAAAAACACAGTTGGTGATTATGTGAGTGCCTGCTAACACACATTTAGAATTCCAATGTTGCTTACATGACGAGATTAGTCTCATGGAGGTGGCCTTGAAAGGTTGCCCGTGAGAGCATCCTCCTGCTTATGAACTAACAATGTCTAAACCGCCTCAGAAGACATTCTGATGTTCAAGCCCTGAGGGAAGAAATTCTGAAATGACTTCAAGAATTCCATTGAATAATCATTGTTAGAGTTCCAGCTAGTGTACATCTCTCTGCTTAACTCTGATGACAAAGGCTGGGGGGGTGGTGGAGAGAGGGAGTGTAGTTTGTTCTTTAAGAAGTAGTAACTGAGGGCCAGGGATCTAGCTCAGTGGTTCTGCCGCCTACCTCCAAAGCACAAGGTCCCAAGTTGGATCCCTGGTACCAAAAAAAGAAGAAGAAAGAAGAAGAAGAAGAAGAAGAAGAAGAAGAAGAAGAAGAAGAAGAAGAAGAAGAAGAAGAA